AAAACTCTGCGGCTGTGTTGAGAATTGAAAGTATAAATCTCAGAGTTGCAAAGTAGAAAGAGAAGCTGCAGAGTTAGCAGAGGGACGGACGAGTGGGTCCTGGTTGATCCTGGGCTGGACACAGGTTTGGTGGAGCATACGCGTTATAAGAATTGAATCTGATCTATTGGACATGAAAAATAAAGCCCAAAGGGAAACAGGCTGGCCCAGGGCTTTCTCCCACCTGTTTTCTGTTTGCTCTATGTCTCAGCCCCTTCCTACTGTCTCCCTTTTCAATAATTCATATCCTGGTTTTCGACACATGCCTGCAGTGAGTCTCCAGATAACATGTCAACTGATTCCACCCCCACTTTGTCTGGCCGCATTCTCACCATCCTACCCATATATTCCTCCTATCCCTGTCTCCGTTTCCCCATCCTCACACTCGTCAGAGTCAGAGACAATCAACAAGGCAGGTTACATATTTACATCTGTAATCAAGCATTCCTATTCAAAATACATATTTTCCAATCAGCGGTGAACCACATTTAAACCTCTATATCATATTGGAAACTCCCCTGCCATTATATTAGCTTCATCAACTTTCAGTCAGTCATTTGCTGCCACTCCTGACAGATCCAAATGACTGAGAGGAGCATAGCATCACTAGTGTGTTAGCTGCACCCAGCAATTACTACAGTGGCTGGCACCTGCTTATCCCCCCCCATCCGTTTCTCCGCCAGCAGATAAGTGGAGCACTGCTCTCCTCCACTCCCCTGGAGACTGTGCTAGTGCCCAGGCCTGATTTTGTTTGTACCGGGGAGTGAGCCAGAGAGTGATTGACACACATACAAATGCACAATACAGACACAAAAATGCACACACATGGTGCCACCTGCTTAAGGTGGATGGTTGTCTCATTAAGCCAGTTGGGCAGAGTGGAGACTGAGTGGACTTTGAGTGGATGTTGGCCTGCTGTGATTTGGCCCTCATCGCTCTGTTTGAGGAGAGGAAAGGGAGGTAGACGCAGATAGACACTGTGGGCACAGACATATGGAGCATAACAACAAGAATAATGATATTTTTATGAAATCAGATTTTCAGAGTTAGCATGACAATGAAAGGTCCCTCTACTCAAATTTGTTTTTGTTTTTTTTGTTACTTAAGGATGTTTAATTCTTGAGCATGGAAACACTGTGCCTGATGCATATTTTTATTGTTACCAGATCAATATAAGATTTTTAATAGCGACATAACATTTTATAATAAATTAATTTAAAAAAGTGATGTATTAAATAATAAGTTACATAGTAAGATATAATCTGTTAAAACAAAATTAGCGTGTTGTGTGTAAAACTTAACCTTTAAATAAATATCAGACAAAATGAACAAATGATGATTTTTGATTTCAATTTCGTTTTTAAAATCTGACATATAAGATATATAAGATATATAAGATTTGTTTTTGTATATGAATTCAAAAACACATGTTGATAACGATACACCTAAATGTGGTCATGATTTCAGAAACTTCGCATAATAATGTAAAGATCTCTAACTTGTTGCGTGCAGCGCTATTTACCATGTGCTCGCTCGTGCTTTGGTCCTGTCACTCTGAATCTGTTGTGCTCGAGAGTGACCTTTGTGCACATGCTCATGCACCCCTGTTACTCCCATAGATTGAATTGATTCTGTGAAATGCTGGTGGTAATGTAAACGCTGTTCTGCAGATGACATTTTATTATTAGAAAATCATATGTTGCCCTGTACCTGCAGTATATCTGTATGCACTCTGGTGGACAAACTATGGACACATGATCAAGTGATGCATCAGAATGTGCACTTGATGATGCAGCTCTGTTTTCTATCAGGGTTGTTGTGTTGACAGCAATCATGAGCGCTGCCTTTACCACACTCAAACCCAGAGCTACTGTTCTGTTTCTTTCAGCTGCTAATCAACATCTTCATCTCATCAAGGTCTTAGAGGTTTGCAGAAAATCTCATTAAAACTCAAGTTTTTTCCCCCAAGGCTACGAAACTGGTTATGAGAAACTAAGAATGCTTATCTTCAGAAGTAACACGTCTTTCTTAATGTACATTTTCTAAAGCACAACACGTGTTTAACAGTAAAGATTGGTTTGGTCTATATATATATTCATTTATACCATTTTTGTTTTAATTTCTTCAGTTATCTGTGAACTTAAATGACCCACAGTGCCACCATGTTGGTTCTCATCACAGAAAATAACACTGTATCTACCTCCCTATTGTGGCCAGTGTGTAGCGGCTGTTCAGAGCCGGACTCCTCTGACCCCAGTGCTCCTGAAATCCGAGGGGTGGTTCGACTCTTTACCCCTGTGCTGCAGAACTTAATGAGGCCAGATGCTGGCTCATATTAGTCCCAGTGGCTCTTTCTTTTTCTTTTTTTCAAACAGCTGTACTGACAACCTGCTCATCTGTTGGTTCACAGTGAGTGCAAGGGGAGGGATATTTTCACTGTCTATCGTACATCATTCCGAATATTTCAATTACAACACAGAGGTTCATCCAGGGATTTGTTCTCATGTAGTCACATTTAATATCCTACTATTGTGTCACATCACTCGCTCCATTGTCAAGCTGCACCCGTGATCTGCACCAGAAATAATAGGATTTTGAATAGCTGGGGAAATCATGTGTTTTGTCTGCCTGATCTAAAATATATCAATAGCAATAATAACAAACTGAATTTTTTAGTGAGACAAAAAGAAATATTTAGGCACGAATGTCATTACACATTTGAACCTCCTCAGACTAGTTTTATTGACTTGGTCGGTACAGCTGTTTATTCTTTGACTTCAACACTACACCATTTAAAACCATTATGACACTGTGGCCTTGCCACACTGCAAAGCTCTGGTACCCTTTTTCACCAAGGCAGTTCCAGGACCAGTACTGAGCCAATGCCTAATTTGGAACCAGTTGTTTGTGTTTTCAAGGCCAAAGAACTGGTTCTTGGCCAGAAAAGTTGGTTCCAGAGTCGGGGAGTAGACCATGGACTAGTCCTTGATGTATTTGTTAACTGGTGTGACCAGTCCTTCCTCCAAATGAATGTGTCTAAGACAAAAGAAATGTTTATTGATTTTCAACCCTCGCCTCTACTTCTGTCCCCTGTGTGATTAAGGCTGAACCAGTGGCAGCAGTGTAGCATGCAAGTATTCAGTCCTGGATGAGAAGCTTCATTTTGATGCAGATAAGAGAGGGTCCTGCAGCGATGTAGTTTTGCAAAAAGGCATGCTAAGAAAAACTGTAAAAATTGAGGTATTCAAGGTTGAGATGTAAGAGATGATCTCTTACAGCCTTCCTATCTCTTATTTATATTTTTTTTATTTATATTTTTTATTCCTTCTTCATACCAAACCCTCCACTTTCTTTTTAATGCACACAACATTTCATTCTGAGACCATAGCTGAGCTAACCCTGATGACACCACTATGACATCATCAGTTTTTTTATGAGCAAGCTCCTTTCAAACTGAAGATCTTATGTTTCCTGTGACATTTGAACTATAAACTTCATGTGTAAACTAAGTGGACATTTAAAGCTTAATAGAGTTAAAGTGTTTGACTATCCTGTCTTGTAAAATTCTCAAATCAAATCAATTTTATTGTCCCATGGGGAAATTTGTTTTGGGCCAAAGTGCTCCAGCAGCTGCAGAACAGTACATTGAACAGCAAACGACAGCAACAACAAAAAACAACAGCACACAAGAACATATCATGTAAGACCCAGAATTAGATGCAGAATAAAAGTAAGTTGAGTATTGCACCTGCCCTGCAAACACTTAAAAAGATAAAACACTGAAAGAATATAACTCATAAAGGATGAAAAACAAAAACTGGTATTAATGAAACGTTACTGACCGAATATACATGATTCACCCTTGATATCAGGTTATTTTAACCAAACTTGTTGTTGTGTTCTTTGCTGTTTTCTCTCTGCCTGCTTTCTATTTCTCTCTTTATACTCTTCTTTTTCCACCCCATCAAGAGTCAGACACTTATACATAGCTATATGATATACGAAACACTAAACCAACACACCATCTCATCCTGACTCCTCCGGAGCCTTTAATATCAGTCAGCAGAGCCGCAGCAATGAAGCTGCCACACTGTTTTATCCAACCAGACCTGAAATGACGTCTTCCTGCAAAGCTCCCGTAATCCAACCCTGAACCCTGCCAGCTCCTCAGATTCACAGCATCATATAACCACTCCTCTCTCTCTTTCTTCCTGCACACTTGTCCTTATCACCTTTCCTCCTTATCTCCTCACATCTTCCCTCACTCTTTGCACTTTCGCCCGACTCCCTCTCCTCCACCCGCCCTCTCCCTCTCCTCTCGTCCTGTGACCTCTTGCCTAAGCTCCAGGGACTTGCTCAGTTTTTTGTGATGGTAGAGGATTTTGGGATACCAGCTGCAGTTTTAATGATTTTGGCCTCAGGCTCAGATCAGCCCGAGAAACACAGTGACCAATTTTTGACCAAATGGGAACTCTCACCGCTGCAACGCCTCTGCAAAACGCATGTGTGCATTAGCATAATTACACTAAAGTACTATAGTTTTGCTCATTCTACCCACACTCACACAGACTGGCAGTTGTTTGTAGCTCCTTGCAAAAAGTGTTGATTTTAAAGATGGAAGCTCATCCTCCATCTCATCTCTGATCCTCCTCGCCTACTCTCCCTCGCTCTCATGGCTGGGGTTTGATGGCGGAGAGAGCTGCAGCACGTCCCTGCAAACATCCCGCAATTAGCATCATGTGCTTCAGTGCATCCCAAACCGATCACTGATGAAGACCAATCAATTCACTTTAATTATAACTCTCTCAAAAACACTTTTAATCTCTGCAGAAGTTGGATCTCTCCTGGGTTTGTTCAATAACAAGCTGTAGCAAATATTTTAAATAGTGGTCGTTTGTGCGTGTGTGTGTGTTTGTATCTAACCAGAGCCGCACCCTCTCTCTTTCTCTTTCTCCCTCCAGACATTGACGACTGCCAGTCTAATCCATGCCAGAATGGAGGAACCTGCATCGATGAGATCAACTCTTTTGTGTGTCTTTGTCTGCCCAGCTACGGAGGAGCTACTTGCGAGAAAGGTAACCATGTGGATAAATAAACTCTCCTTCGCTGTTTCACTCATCGATTCACTTCCTGAAGGAGTGTGTACAGAGCGGAGGCAGAGTGGAGAAGTAGGAAGAAGTAGCACAAGATGTATAGTGACAGAGGAGGAGTAAAAAGAGGAGATGAGGAAAAAAGGGATAAAGAGTTAAGACAAAGAGGGTGGAGAAGCAAGGTGAGGTGAGCGGATGGAGGGAGTAGGATGAATATGGGGGGGGATAATAGTAGGCAGTAGGACAATGCTAAAAGCTCAGAGCAAAAACAAGGAGGCTGAGAAAGACGGAGTTAATGAGGATGTGTAAACAGACAGAAGAGAATGAGGATGTGAATGCAGACAAAGAGGTGGGGGAGGAGACGTGGGAGGCTCTGTGGAATATTGTATTGTCTTTATACAGAACACCTGCGTCCAGCTGGTTCTGTCTCTCATTATGGGAATTCCCCTGTGAGAAGAGGGACGTGAAGGAGGCTGTTTCACATACTGCACGTTACATGATAACATGGCTGATGAACAACACTGAGAGACACTGAAGCTGTTGCGGACATTAGGTTTAATTGTTTTTTCACCCTGATCATTTGTAAGAACCTGATCAGTTTAATCTCACCTGGAGTTTGCTTCATGCAGCCAAGATTGTAATATTTCCTCCTGATCAGTGCAGGTAAGCAAGGTCCTGTAACAGAGAAAATGCTGGAAGAAATAAAAATAAATATAATTTGCCAGCTTCCATCAAAGTAAATCTTAACATCGATTAATCATAACTTTGGATCCAGGAGTGAAACTCCAGTGAGCAAAGGTTTTCCTTGCTGCTTATTTGCAAAAAAAAAATGTAATTACTTTAATCTCTAGTTATTATTTTTTAATATTATTTACTTATTTTTCAATAAATTACAACTTTTTTCTCATTAATAACATGTTTATTCTCTTAATATTATTTTGGAGGCACGGATGAAGAAAAACATGAGATGTAAGCAACAATTTGCAAAATTAAAACAGTCATAACTCATCACATCTGAGCACATTGACATAGTTTTAGATTAAATGGGACTTACACTTTCTAAGTACATCATTATCTCCCTTATGTCCTTCGCGCATAAACATCCATGAATCCGCTCTGACTTCGCAGGTGAAAGAAGCAGCTTGCAGTTCCTGAAACTTCCTGAGAATCGTCACATTTACGAGGTTTGCTGTAGAATCAAAGTTACCCGGAGCTAGTTCTCTGTAACAGGAATGGCTGATTCAGCATGGTTTGAATGGGACAGTTGTCACAAACTTTCCAGGGAGGTAAACGTAGTGTCTTAGTGTCCCTGCAGTAGAGGTACAGGAATTAAATGGGAATCAAGTGTGTGAGTTTGGATCACCAGCAATGTGATGTCTGAATAATGCAAACTGTAAATCTCTTAAAACCCAGCCCAATCAAATTTTAATGAGAGAAACAACGAAAGAACAGTTACTAGAGAGATGGAGACTGTGAGATGTTAAGAAGGTGAGTCAGGGAACAAAGGAAAGGTGGAGGCAATCTGAACAACACAAACCTGTAAAGTTCCTCTGGTCCAGCTCACCTTTTGACCTCAACAGTGTTGTCTTTCCTCCATGTGCCTGGTTTGCAGTGTCAGGGCAGAGCAGTCGATCCAGAGATGCAAGAGAGGAGACAAGAGAGTGATGTCAGAGAACAGCAGAGTAATAATATTACAGAATCTGCAGTCGCTCTGACAAGATCTACCAGAGAAAATGACATGTTTGAAGAACAAGAAACTAATGTTCTATTTAAGAGTCCCAGGAATTAATTTCATGAACTGTGACATGTCAACGTGTCTGCCTTGAAAACGGTTTATTAAAATGACTCTACACCAATTTTACACATGAAGATCACTTTACTCATCAGAGTGTGTTACTGAAGAAAGATAAAGATCGATAACATGTCAGCTCTCCAGAAGTGAAGCAAAAGTGTCTCGATCACCCCCTGGTGGCTTGTTACAGTATAGGTCATAAGCCCTGCCTCCTCAATCTCAATTGATGGGTCACAGACAAGGGTCAACCCTAACCCAAAGTTCGAAGTCGAAATACACTTAAAAAAAAACATTTTGATGGTTCTTATCACATGTTTCTGTGTGTTCCTTTTGTGGATAAGTGTCTTTTTAATAAGTAATTTGATGCCAATAAAACAGGGTGAAGCATCACACATATTCAGATTCAAAATAAGGATATTTTATGTTATTTTTTAAAATAATTGCTCTCTTGCATGTCCTACCATTTCATGGAAGCACAACACTAAATTCTTACAGTGCTCCAGATATACTCTTTGCTGCCCTTTTTGATTTTTCCCAGCCCATAGAAAGTGGGTCAGAAAGTGAGGACTGGCCAAAATGTCCTCAATTTCCCAAAATGTCCTCACCATGTAGTTTGCAGTCTCAAAATGCACAAGTCTATACAAGTGTACACACACACATAAACCACTAAAGCATGCCTGACATGCATTAGAGCCTGCACATGTCTCCTCGCCTGCTGTGCTGCTGCCTTCATAGCTGATTGAGAGCAGCAGGTCTGACTGTGTAGATCTAGAGTGTCTGTTTCCATGTCGCTTTTATCTCTCACTGCTCAGCATTTGCAGAAATACAGGATTCTGCAGTGAAAAGTACAATTCGCAACAGGCGTCGCTTTGCCGTTTCGCTGTGATCTCAATTTGATATCCAGAGGGAGGTCTGAGCTGCGACATGAACGCTGGAAATGAACTCATTCGCTCCACCGAAGCTTTCATCCATTTAAATGTCATCCAATTGGTCTCTGTCTCGCTAAAGTGGTCCGGTTCTCTCTGTCTCATTTGCTG